CTCTTAGCCTTCCCATATGCTTTTCCCAGGAGCTCAAACTCTTCCAGGCACTTGGTGACATCCCGAATCTCCATGGCATTACAGATGGTCCGGATAAGGTTGGTAAGCTCCTCAAACCTGGGTGGGGAGCCCAACACCACATTGGACATGCCCACCATCACCAACCAGAAAATCCACCACTACTCCAGAGATGCCCCACCACGCAGCCTCCCCACGGTCTCACCTCTTGTCCTTGGCACTTCGGACAACTCTCTTCGTATCTTCTTCATCCTCAGCAACAACGGCCTGTTTGGAGGGAACAGAGACCATTAACCTTCCTCCCTAGTTCAGCCTTTCCAAGCTATTCTATTTGTCTTCTCAGATGGGACAGGTAGCACACACAAAGACGACTGTCTCCATCCTCGCAAAAATTAACAAATGAAGGTGCTTATTTACTGTGCCAGAAAACTAATTACATACAAACAGAAGTTACTAAGAACTACTGAAAACAGTTAAGGAACAGGATACTTCAGCTGGAATAAATGGAAAAGGCTTCAAGAAGCTGGTACCTGAACTAGGTCCTAGAAAGCAACCTTACTCGGAGTGTGAGAGGCCAAGGACAAGGAAAAAGTCTCTGTGGCTTTAACACCTCCACTGCTAGTACTTTCCTTTAACAATGAGAGACCAGAGCACAGACAGCACTCGCTGGAAACAATCTTTCTTTTCCTTCCACTTTATTAATTTTTCCAATCATTTTATTTTACAGCAAGCAATGGTCTTCCACTTATGGCAGTGATATGAAATCATATGATATGAATTCATATGGGTACACACATATACGGGTATACATATATTTTTAAACAGTGGCACAAGCATATGACAAAAATAACGAAGGTGGCATGTATATGGCAAAAATCTGAGAAATAACGTTCCACTGCTTCAAAGGATGAAAAGAATTTTAATTTGAAAAGGTGGGGGAAAGAGATTTAAGTGGAGGTAAACAACAGGAAACAGTAGATGTTTAAGACCCTGCCGGCAGCACCAGGCGACTGGGCTTGAGAGCCACCTCCAGGAGCTCCCAGATACCAAGGGAGCATTGCGGATTTTTTTTTGTGAGCAGTGAGAAGCCACTGAGGATTTCCTGGTGGTAAAAGTAA